CTCAGGTATTAGTTCATTCAAGTCTTCCTCAGGTTTCACAAAATATATAATCCAAAACCCATCGATTATTCCTTTCCACAACACCGACAGCAAACTATTTTCGCTGCTTTGTAAGAGGAGCTGTTTCTTCAAGAAAAAAAACATTACCCTTAAAGTATTTTTTCATTTGGCCACCTCATTTTCTTACCCTTCACAATGTTTTAAACAATCAACTCATCTCAATAATGAGCTATCATAACCTCACCAAAAATTTCCAGCCTTAAAAAGATTATTGACTAAAGAATTATAAACAGTCATCTGCACAAAAAGAAAAAGTAAAAAACAGAAAAAAAAAAGCAGTCGAAAGAAGTAGAATAATACTTGGAGTAGAAAAAATAACTTTACTCGGGAACCATTAAAAGATATCAAATGTTAAATCACTTCTTCTTCATGGTACACTAACTAATTATGTCTTTGAATGAATTGAAAAATTAAAGGGTTTCCAGAAAATAGGAAGACTGCGAGAAAATACTGTACACAGGTCATCCGAACTCTAACGACTTAACAAGAGACAAAAATGTTGGCGACTTCGGCTTTCATCGAGAACACTGTACTTTTTAACAGTTTTACCTGCTAGTTTCTTAGCAGAGATGTTGTAATAGAGAAGCACCAAATTTATGGCTTGTCAGTCTGCCCTTGAAGAATTCCTCAAGTTGCTGCTTTTCAAAATAAAAAACACTGAAAAAACGTGGTTAGAAAACTGAAAATTTTTTCAAACCTTTTATCGGAATTCTAATTCTTTCATTTTTGAAATCAACATTGACCAGTAAAACGACGAATTTTTTTGAATTTTAGTTTTTTCTGCATAAATGAATAACGTTCAGCAACCAGGACTTTTGCTAGACGATACAGTATAGAAGATAAATTTTTCAAACTCTTGTACTGTGATTATATTAATTTCTAAAATAGCAGTACAGATTATATACTCAATGCTGAGTGTTTCTGAAACAGCGATATTTTTCACTAAAGAAAGTGAAGAGTAAACAAAAAAGATAGATCTTCTGAACCGGTAATTGGCTGACTAAAGTTTGGGATCAGCTTTTGGAATGACTGTAAGGACTGTCACACTTTGACAAAGTTTTTGCTGCAACGAAATAGCAAATTTTGCTTTCCTCTGCCTCTTTTCGACCACCCTGCAGAAAAAAGGATGTTGGAGCGCAAGAAAAGGAAACGGCGACGGTACAAACAGAACTTTAAAGGTTACTGAAAGGAGAATGGCTTGAGAAAGTTTGGGAAGTACTGCAATGAGTGACCGGTATATAAAGGTTTTTGTTCCAGTTTTCCTCATTAGCTCCCGCTGATTCAACACCTCAACGACTGCCTCATTTAGAGAACTTTCATTTAACAAAAAAACTGTGACATTTTAAGAGGTAAAGTTCTGTCTAACAAAAAAACTATGGTCAAAAAATTTTAATCAAAATCGCACGAAACGCAAAGTTTCTGGAAACTCTCGGAACTCTTTTTGAAAAAAAGCTTCTTGACTTCTGACTTAATAGGAGTATCAATCAAACCTGTTATTATCTTTTAAAATGTGGAAATTTTGCCATATACTGACACCTTTGTTGCACTTCGCGAGAGAATTCCTTCTTCCTTGAAAAAAATTTTAAAAAGCAGTTAAACGTTGCCGTAAGTTTTTTTGACACGCGGCAAGTACCACAACATTCCCACTGTGTAAGCATACATAGGGAAAGAGCAATGTACTACAAGTCTGCCAGCACACCAAAATTATTAATACAATAAATGAACCATCCCCCTACTTTAAATTAATTTGGTCAGATTAACACCATATGATGCTGAGGATGGAAAGAAAGGTTTTAAATCCTTGAGGTAGGTAAGCCGTGTTGCGTAGAGCGATTCCAGTTAATTGCAGACGGAAATTTGCTGTTTCCGGCAAAGCGGCAGACAAGGAAAAAGGAAGAAAAAAACTGGAAAATTGTTTCGATTTTTGATCAATACTGACACTACAAATCCCACTGATGATGACGATGATGATGACTTCCGTACAGCTGCTGCTGCATATTATAAGCGTTAGCTCTAACAGAGGGACAAAACAACAACAACCAAAACTCTCATAAAATAACACTAGCCGTTCAATACGACCACTGTCGGATTGTCTGATGCCACTCCACACCCAGATGTTAAGGTTTATTCTTGCAGTATTCAGGTGCCCTTTTACAGACGACTCATTGGTCCGCCTGTCATAAGCTTCCGCTTTTTATACCTGGGTTGCTAAATTGCTGCCGTGTCCAGCCATGAAACTAACATTATTTTTCATTCATCACAACTTAATGCTAAAAAAATGTTGTGTCGGAGAATTGATGTCGGAGCTCTTCTAAATTCCTAAATACTGATACTCAGAACTCATTCTTCAAACTCTACATGTTGTCGTTCGGTGAATACTGTCCAACTGGTAGCAACATATAGATGCTAAAACGACTTCACAACTTATCACATTGACTGTTTCTAAGTTTTCAAAGGTTCTTGCAAAAAGTGATCACTGCGCGGGAAATTCGACTACGAAATTACTGGAAGCGGAGCACCTATTTTCACTTTTAATTTCAGACTGACCTCTGGCTTACTGTTATTACCTCCACTTATGGAGCTACGCGAGCAGTATGTGCGACATGACACTTTATGTGAAAAAAATTCGATTTCACTTCAACGCCAGTTCAACAGGTTGCGTGCTGACCGTTGGTAATGGTTATAAAATAATTTTGCATTTTTTTTCCTTCTTAATCTAATGTTTCGTCCGCGTGCCGCTTTGTTAAACTAACTACTACCAGTTTTTGTCGATTGCAAGCTAGAAGTTCCCAAGTTTTACGATGTATGACATAAATCACCATTTACCGACAGTTATATTTAATGCTTACTCATATTTTTTATTTCTCTTTTTTTTTTCCAGTTTAACAGTCTACAACATATTCCCAGCAGCAGTCTTAAGAGTATTAAAAAAGAAGCGGACGAAGGACGAACGTTAATCCATGTCTGATAAACTCCGATATGAAATTAATTGTAAAAACAACTTGAAAAGTTATATATATATATATATATATATATATATATATATATATAGGTGCTGTGCTTAAGAGTGCGTATTTTTGTTTGTGGTCGTCCCCAAAATCCTTACAACTTTTTGGTTTATCAAACAGCTTTTGTTTATATATATATATATATATATATATATATATATATATATTATATATATATATATATATATATATATATATATATATATAGCTTTTATTTATTTATTTACAAGTTGCACGCTGCTAGAGAGTAGTGTTGCTTTGTTTGCTCACTTATCTATGTGTTTTAATTTTTTGAGGCCTCGTATCTTCTATGCGATAAGTGCAATAGATATGTTCCCATTTTCAGATGCTAACGGTCAAGCCGCGAAGGGTGTAAAAATATGAACTGCCAGGAGAAAGTTTTCCATGACGAAATTATCTCAAAACTGAAGTTGAGGAACGTCCAGAGAATCATCATTCCGTATTTTATAATGGGTGCTGGGTGTAATGCGCTCTTTAACGGCGATATATGTATATATTGCGCTTCTGTGTTTATGAATTGGTCCTGTCGGTCCAACGTTTCTTTGGTAAATTTTTCAAGTATTACAATATAGCTAAAAACAATGGGGGAAGGTAGAGAAATAGATGAGTAAGTGACTAAGAAAGAAAAAAAGAGAGAAGTGTAGGATGCGCAGTTCTTCCATAAATGAATTTCCGACCAAATTCTCATTTACAGAACTACTGCTGGCTGTTTTTTGATATATAAACAATGTGTTTCTGGCATGTTACCATTTTGTAACATCAGTGTGGCGCTGCTAATCTTCTATAGTTTTCTTCAACGTGTTCTCGGTGCAATTTTTACTTGAATTCGTTTTCTTATTTCTTATTTTAATTTTTATTTTTTTATTTTATTCTTTCGAGAACGAATATAAGTTATTTCCAGTAGTGCCTATTAGGTGCTCTTGTTGCGCTGAAAATTAACTGGCGGTATTGTGAGGTGCAGTTTTAATTAGTTGATGTAATGAACGCCCCACAGAGTGGTGGTGATTCATGCCAAGACTTTTTCTGAGCTACTGCTCAGTGTAAAACGCTGGATTCTGCTTCTCAGCTGGCCTAGTTTTTGTTTGTTTTTGCGTTGGTGATGCTTTTTGGTTTCTCTTTTGCTGCTTAAAGTGCTTGCAATTTTTGTAATTTTTTGCTTTTTCATACGGATGACTTTTAGAAATCAATTATTTTTCTTTTCTCTTCCTTCAGCATGTTACAAACAAGTTTGTTGAACGTTCACCTATCTTTTTACGAACTCGTGTTCACGAAAAATAAAATTTTTTTCATTGATACAAGAATAATAATTAAGTTTTATACAAACAGTCACGTATTAGCGTATTAAGAGTAAGTCTGCACGTGTTTTCGGATAGTGCGGTACTTTTTTTCTTTTATTGTTTTCTGGATAGTACAATTTATCGATCAATATTAGCGTCTGGTGTTTGTTTATTAATTGTTTAACCGGTAACCAGACAGTTGACGAAGTACGATCTACAAGAACCAGTACTCTTACATGAAGCAAAGATGTTTTTTGTTAATGTTTATAGAATTTTTTAATGTATTGTTGACTCCTACAGTTTTCTCATTACCACGGTGAGCAGTTCTGTTTGAATCTTATATGGACAAAATGATTTTGTAGTGAATTCCAGGTTTACAATTTTTATTATTCACTTAATTTTACTACTTTACATTAATAGTATGTGCATGACATGCACATCTTTTGTTCTTCGTAGTCATACAGTATTATTTTAACTGATGTAATTTGGCCTTAGTCACAAGTTCTGTTTACTCGACACGATTAACTTATTCATTCATGAATTTAAGCGAGAAAATTTACATTTGGGGGTTATTTCAGCTTGCCCCTGATTTTTGGATTTACGGCCAGGTAGGCACAGTTTTTCAAACTAAGAGATGTCAGCCCTTTCACGACAGATAAAGTGCGTGGTCGTAGGTGACGGTACAGTTGGAAAAACTTGTATGCTCATATCTTATACAACAGATTCCTTTCCGGTTGAGTATGTACCTACTGTGTAAGTGTTATATCATATTTTTTTTTGCCACTGTGGAAAGTAGGCGTAGTGTGTTGCTCTGACAGTTCATTGAAGGTTCCTTCATTGAAAAATTTAGTCGTGAACTATGTGAAAGGTGATTTTTAGATTTGACAACTATTCTTCCCAAATTACAGTGGACGGTCAAGCAGTAAATCTTGGTCTTTGGGATACCGCAGGCCAAGTATGATCTATTCTTCTCATATCCCTTTATTTTGGAATCTAATTTGAGAATATCAGAAATTTGCCTTTGCTTCTACATTTGGTGGTTTTCTCCTTCTCTTCTTAGACGCGCTACACCATATTTCCACGTTCTAAGCGCTTCAATTTAACATTCCTGATAATTGATAAGCAGTAGAATCTTTAATTCTCTGTTTTTATAAATATGCGGTTAAACCTAAATTAGGTTGAGCATTTGTCCGAGTGCAAAATCCCTTCGCTGAATTGAAGTCCGTACAACAAATTTATCTGAATTTTAGGAAGATTATGATCGCCTGCGGCCACTTAGTTATCCACAAACGGACGTTTTTGTTTTATGCTTTAGTATTGTTGCTCCAGTATCATTCGATAATGTCGTAACAAAATGGATTCCTGAGATCAGGCATAATTGCCCAGATGCTCCTATACTTTTGATTGGTGGTTTTCTTTGAAATTTAAAGGAAACATTACTTAGCTGTTACCCGTTATTTTTTTACATTGTCTTATAAAATTGGAGTCTAGGTACCAAATTAGATTTACGTGATGAAGCCGAAACGGTAAGGAGTCTGAACGCTGATGGCAAACATCCGATAACAAAAAGTCAGGGACAAAAAATGGCTAGAAGAATTCGGGCTGTAAAATACTTAGAATGCAGCGCCCTTACTCAGCAAGGACTGAAAGCAGTATGTTCCTTACAATTTTCTTCATACTGAAACTAAACCAGACGAAAGTGGCAAGAGACTAAATCTTTTGAGATACTAATTTGTTCCTTTAGTCAGGTGCAGCTGTAACTGTTCAAAAAAAATTATAGAGTGGGGATTCATTACCCACCTGAAATATTTCTGAAATCTTGTGAACGAAATTTTGATGCCGTTCTACCGCTTTACAGGTTTTTGACGAGGCTGTTCGTGCGGTTTTAGCACCAAAACCAACCGGGAAGAAGTCTTCGTGTTGCTTGATTTAGTGACTTCACAACCTTTGGCTTGGTACTTTACGTGATGGTACATAATGAGTTTATGACTCCTTAAAACTATTGTCCATATCGTAGCTGACTTCTCCGCTGTATTTGGTTTGAATGTTGGTGTAGAGCTTGCTTTCTTTAATCATTCTTACACAGCGTTCTCCTTTGAAGATTTTGGGGAAATTCAGGGGTTTTAATCAAAGCCACTGCTAGAATCGGTGGATTTTAAATCGCGGATGTAGAAGAAAATAAGCTCACCTTTCGGAGATGCTGCTTGTAACTAAGTGCAATTATTGTTATTATTAGTCCGTTGCTTCCGGCAACATCTCTGCTTTTAACGAATTTGTGAAGGCCTTGTTTCAAAAATCCAGCTTTATCTGAGCAGATGGGTGCTTGGCCTTGCCGAAGAAAAGTTCTTCAATGCCGTGTTGTTTGATCCCACAAAAGTAGTTTTTTTCTGCTCCAGCAATGAGATTTCATATCCTTCGTGTCTTGATTATTGACCTCAAGTTTAAGGATTTGGAGCAGACCGCCCTCACCTTTGTCTCATGTCACATGCTTTTGTCTGGAATTGTGTCTTCTTTAATTTGTAAAATATTAACCAGGCCGTGTCGTGCATAAACTGCCACACACTATATCTGGTCTTAGAGTAACAAGCTGCTTCACCCTTAACCCGTCGTATCCGACACACTAATGAGCAAGCGCACTGCAGCTCCTAGTCTCATCGCGAGGCGACTGTGTAGTAGCCCCTGAGCCAACCACTGTAAAGGCGTTGGGCGTAATGAAACCCAAGGCTTCTCTTCCTCCCCTCCGCTTAGTCCACATTCAATCCCGGCGTGGAAGACCATCCCTTCCATTCCACTTAACGCCCACACTGCACCAGTCCATCCCTCGCCAAAGCCAGTGATGAGCAGCAACCCTCCATGCAATATAGGACCATTGACACTGGCCGGAACCGAGAGCGTTTTAAACTCGCTTCGCTTGGTCTCCGCACAAAACCACCTAAGCCAATTAAGGAAGGGAAGACACAGTCAAGGTCTGAAACTAGCACAAACCAAGAAAACACTACAGACAGAGTAAATCTCCTCAAGTAAGTCTTAGCAATTTTATATCCAACGTTTTTTTTAAAGCAACAAGAACGAACATTTCACTGACAACATGACAAAATTAAAAATTATTTTCCGCCTCAAACGTAGACGAGAAGCAAGTCATTTAAAACGTACGGCTTTCCTGTCAACAACACATCTGTGACTTGAATGTCGAATGCAGAAGCTTATGAGTGAGCAAGCGAAATATTCTACAACTTCTTTCGTCTAAATGCCGAGCGGATAATAAATTACAAGTCACAAATTGCAGAAGTCACGTTAAGTTACAAGTAGTAAAAGAAGTAAAAAATGCACATCACTTGGATGATGCTATAAATCAAGATGTAGCTCACAATTTCAGACTATACCTGCACAAAAAAAAAAAAAAAA